CTTTTAGATGTACTGAATTACTAGAATCAGTTCACGAAAAAGATTTGTTCACCAAATCACAGAATCACTTAACGCTTAGCGGTGGAAGCCTGCAACTCCGACCTCCTGAACTGATACACAGCTGAATCTTTTTAGGATTCACTTCAATTCATAGCTTTGTTTAAGAGTTTGGTAAACAGGTTTGTAAAAATGAACTTGTTTATAAGTCATGATGTTTAAAGTGTACTGTCCTGTGGTACGCTATTTATCAGGTCTGCTCAGTAAATTGGGCTCAGTGACTGATTCATTCACTGAACGTTGCGCCGTTCTCTCGCACACCGCTGCAATGATAGGATGCTGCGGAAGTGATTCAGTTCAGTACGCTCACTTCAAAGATTCGGTTCTTTTGAACGAATCGTTCGCGAACGACAACATTATTTCAGATGTTTCGGTCTCCATTGTCCATGCCCTCCATTTATGTGGAATAACTTTTGTTCACCGAGGTCAAAGAAGCATGGATTGGTCAGGTTACGATGAGCGCGCCCTCTGTTGGATTATATGTTGGATTATACGATGGCCTGATACGCTATGAGCTCAAACAGCTCAATACAGCTCAGTACAGCTCACAGCTTGAACTATTCCCTCAGAGTTCTGGATAACAAATGACAGCCCTACACAACGCTTTGCCTTAAATTATGCAATCTTTGGATAATAAGTAGAAGAAGTTGTTCTGATTTTTTACGGTATCCAACTAGAACCCAATTTCCAAAAAGCTGGGACGTTGCCTCAAATTTTGATAAAGTCTTTATTTAACTAAAAAAAAAATAGCAGAAAGATGACAAATCAAATGTTGAACCTGAAAAATGTTTTTGATTTATGAAAAATATATTCTAATTTTTGAATTTGCAATTGGGATAAAGACAAAAAAAACACTAAAAATGGTCTGTAAAAGCCGCCCAAAGGAACCTCTCTCAACTAATAGTTTTAACTTTCAGTACTGACTGGGTGAAATAAGGTGAAGAAGTGAAGTGAAGAAAGGACGAGTCTCTCAGAAGTCAAGATGAGAAGAGGCTCATTACTCCAGAGAAGAGTGAGTGAAAAATTAGCACAATGACTCTCATGCTCCTGAGCAGAAAATAGCTAAGAATTCATCAACTATAATAAATATCATTAACAGATTCAGAGTATACGGAGAGATCGCTATACGATAAAGACCAGACTGATTAAAAAGTCTTCATGTAACACTGGATCAAAAATAGAGCAAACTCTATAGTGGAAATCACTTCATGGCCTCAAATTCTCTATATAAAACAATACGTCAATGCTTCAAGTTAAAAATGTACCGTGCAAAGAGGAATAAATAAGAAAACATGATCCAAAATACATTTCTTATCCGCTACTACAACTCATCCTGCGCACATATACTATAAATATTTACATTCAGATAGAAAAATAACTTTGGTAAACTCAAAGTTTAAGAGTTGGAAGAATGAGACACAAGAAAAACTTAAATAAGCCCACAGAAAAGTGGGTACATATATGTTTGCAAAATGTCTCCTGTATCACAGCAGCAGCCTAAATATAAATTGGGACTTGCGTAGGAGCAAAAGAAGGTCAGAGGAACAAAGTGAAATCACGGCTTTACAAGTCTGATAAAAAAATAACTCCTCCATGTTTCTGCGTTTGTGTGTAGTTTAGTTTTAAGTCTACTACAGAGGTCTTCTCATCTGGCCCCTGGGCTTTTCCTTTTTTCAAGTTCAGAGTGGCAACAAGAGGGAGTGACACAGCTTGACTTTGGCTTTGTGATTTTACTCGTGCCTTCTTATGTTCCCTGTTGGCTTACAACTTATCTTTAAAATAGAGAATCAACATAGAATCCAAAGACAGGACTATGAAGAGCAGCAGGGATGTTACTTCTTGTTTGTCAGAGACTTGACAACCTCACACACTGATCTTTTCTCAAGGCTCTCGTCTACCCGGGTTAAATATATTTAAATATTATGTGCTCTCTTTTATTATAAATACATCTTTGCGTGACTTCCCCTCATCTGAAAATACTGTTCAGAGTACATTTTGTACAGTGACTCTGACTGTGTGGTGATCTGATTATATCCGAGTGCTGAGGTATTTTCACTTTAATTATGACGATTTTAGTCCGATAAGAGAAACGATAATGAACAAAAATCAAACAAAAGTGCACACACTTATATATATCGTCTCTTACTTGAGTGTCGGTGATGGTATTAGGTAAAAATTCAATTATATTCAAAGGTTAGCTTTTCTCCCAGGCCAGCTGTCTTTTTGGGAGAGAAGGTGTTGAATTTTTTCAGAAGGCGAGTCTCTCACCTTAGAGTTCAACGCCTCCTATTTTCCTCAAAAATTGCTTCAAGAGAGGCCAAGAATAGACCTTTCAACATCAATGATACAAATCCAAACAGATCCCTGCTCTTTCTTTCATTCCTTAAAGGACAAACAGATTTTCACTTCTTCTCTCTGGTGTTCATGTCAAGAAGTTTATTTTTCAGTGGACTGCCATTCACGAGGACAGCTTTTCAGTTCGGGTAATGATCCGTCCTGAATATTCTGAGGCTGTCGCTGCATATTTGGCCTTGGAGAGAGGATGATAGCCTGTTTTTTTTTTTTTTTTTCTTCCTTCCAAGGGTTTTGAATGATGAGACTGCCTTCCAGGAAACCCATTATATTCTTTTTTGCCATTACACTCTCAACAGTCTTACTCTAATTTTGCACATAAATTGTTTCAGATACAAACTGTGTATTTAATGATCCCTAACAACAAAACAAGGTAGAAAAAGGCTGATGAGTAGGATGTGCAATATTGACAAATATATTCTCATGATTTCTAATGATTCGAGCCTGTAGGTTGGTATTCATCATGTTCAACAATTAGTACGCCTATTCAGGCGCCGCAAGGCTTTAACGAGATCAGATTTTCATAGTCACAAAATGTCAAAATAGTGATATTATTGTGATAATTTAGGACACTTGAACATGACACAACAGGGTCACGAAGACAAGATGAGGTGGTTTGGTGCAGTGGCTGTCTAGGTCTTCAAAAACCAATGTGACATGGATGTGTAGAGCTGTGTGTACATGCATGGACAGTAGGGGTAGTGTAGAGGCAGCAGCAGGGGCAGAAAATTTCAAAGACGAGCTGATGGGCCAATAGTTCAAAACTGTTGTCCTGATCTGTACCATGTGTCATTGCCACTGCATAACTACAAACATGCTGATCTAAATACCCTGGTGAGTGATAGGTTCAGCTGTATCAACCTGGGGAACTAAAAGGAAGCAAGGCTGCAGGAACTTTGACGTCCAATATTTCCGAGTCTGGCCTGCATAGCGAGGCTCCAGGGGTGGAGCTTGGAGTTGTGACATAGGAAATCTCACCGTCTCTGAGCCTGTCGTTTGGGTCTGTCAGAGATTCACAGCGATTTGAATGCAGAAATACTCAGAAATGCAATTCTCCACTTCTTTTTCTCATGATATGTCCTCTAGTATAAGAAAAATGCCATATACACATGTAAAAACAAGAAAAAACATGTTTTTCATCGGAGTGGGTCTTTAAAGGCCCCTGGATGAGCAGATTCATTTCAAACTTCAAACTACAATTTTATGGATTAGAGTCAAAAGGAAACACGTCATCTGGGGAGTACTATGTTCTCTCATATAGGTAGATTTGCTGACTCACAGCACTAAAAGCAATACCTGGCGGGACAATGTAACTTCATGTGTATGGTGGTGCAGGCCTTTTTTTTCTTCTCCAGCTTATTTTAGCTTCTGTCACTAAAGTAAGATTTAATATGCTCCCTTTGCTTCCCTTTAGGTTGCTTTGCCACGTATACACACTCGCACCCACACACTACTGCATGTCTTGAGTCCTCTCTTTCTCTTTGCCTGTATGTTTCTGCTCGTGTCAAAATTTGTTAGCAGCACGGTTTTAAAGTCAACAAAAAAAAACACAACTCAGGCTCTAAAATTTTTCACTGCAGGTCTGTTGTTACCAGCAGGAGAGCCGCCTGTTGTCAGCTGTTGTTGATGATTTAGTACATGGATTTGTTAATTCTCTTTTTTTATTACATAGCAACATGTCATAGTGATGGTCTGTTAATTATGGGTAGCAGCTTTGCCGAAAAGCCTGTTTCTGTGAATGTGTCTTTAATCAGAGGACTAACTGACACCATATCAATGTGCAGAAAGAAGTCTGGTTAATATGAGGTTGTTTTGTTTATAGTGGGAAAACCAAGAGTTTAAAAAAGGGCCGGAGAGCATAAAAGACCCAAACACTGTCAGCTACACCAGAGAAATCTTCTAAACTGAAGACGGCACATGAAGTGAACTTTTAACAGAGCAGAGTGGGGTACCGCCTGGTTGAAGGACTGATAAATGGAAAAGAAAATGTCACAGACTTTGACGGCGACGAGGCAGAAAAACTCAATCAGGTGAAGAGCTGATCCATGTCGATCTGCTCGGCTGGTTTCTCTTGGAAATGTTCAGTCGAATGTGAGCAAAGGAACATAAAACAGCTTAGTCAGCCCATTTAAAGAGGGCTGCATCATTACTTTAAATGCTAGTCAAATAGTTGATGCATCAAAGTATATTTTTTTTATCATTTCCATGAATTAAATCATGTTAAATTACTTATTCATCAAGTGAGCAGCAATTGCACAAGCTAAATAATGTATACTGAGTAGGGTTAGGGTTAGGGTTAGGGTGAAACATACCACAACACCGAGTTAGACACCCCCTCAAGAGATGAATGTTGCCGACCGCTTGCTTCTCTAGTTATACCAACTTTAGTAACGACAGCAGGATAGCAATACACAGCGGTCTGAGGAGCCATAAACAAACCTTGACCAAAACGCCACTCTATAGTCACAAATAATGCTCAGAACAGCACCTAACTTCATGTAAAAGCAATCAGACAGAGACGCCAAGGCAGAAGAACTACCGCGTCTTCAGTGCAAAATGATTATCATCGTGATTATTACTTCAAGGAAATTATAAAGTAATGATCATTAACGTTCTTCCTTGAGCTGCGTCACCCCGCTGTAGTCCGTAATGGACTGGCCCGAGGTCTTGCTACAAACAAGTGGCTGCTGGAAGAGAGTAGGTGAGTTGTGTTTAGTCTCTTTGCTAAAGAAATCAGGCAAAGTTACAAAGCTGTTGGCTGGTGGCTAGTACTGTGGCTGGGACCCTATATGTACTGTTGATGAAGTTAGGTGCTGTTCTGAGCATTATTTGTGGCTATAGAGTGGCGTTTTGGTTGAGGTTTGTGTATGGTTCCATAGACCGCTGTGTATTGCTATCGTGCGGTCGCTACTAAAGTTGGTATAACTAGAGAAACAAGCGGTCGGCAACATTCATCTCTCGAGGGGGTGTCTAATTCGGTGTTACAGTGTGTTTGACCCTTAATCAATTTTACGCCGGAATATTCCTTTAATGTGAGTATTTTTAGAAATATATTTAAGCTTCTTTAACTTTGAGAGAAATATTTGAAAGACTGTTGTCGCCCATTTTGGAGTAGTATAACTGGTCAGCTCAATTTGAATACAAACAATGTAAATACCAGTTGTAGACGGATATGCACAAAAAAGTGATTGCTTTTATTGCACAGCAGTGGAGTAAAAATAGTTCTGATTGAAGGCGTTTTCTTGACAGCCTCAGCTGCATATGAAAAATGCAGCAGGGCGGCATTATCATTGGCAGGCGGTGTTTATAGAAGTGATTTAGGAAGTCTTGATTGCTCCCCAGACAGCTAAGCAATGGTGTGAAAGTTATTTATTGCGTCTGGATATGTATAATAGGCTTTTGATTAGTTCAGGTAGGTTATGGTGGTGTAGCATGAGAATATTACGTGGGAGAATGGGCTGCTGTATTTCAGCCCTGAGCACTGAGATGTTCTGGTCCCATGATGTTCATGCTATTGGCCGTCCACTTTTCATCTTGGCCTTTATTGCTTCTCCTCTAAGTGTTCATTTCCTACTGTGTGAAAATATGTGCTTGTTCATGTTTTCCAGATGAAGCTGTCATTAATCACAAGAACAATAAAGGTGCTTAAGTTTTCGATTGGCGCACCAGGTTTGAAATACTGAGTACATAAATGACTGGAAATTATACAAAATGGTAAATAGATGGTTTGCCTTTATTGGTTAAATGGCGCATAAAATCCGAGCTTTATTACTCCCCCCTTTAAAACCTCGCCTTTCTGCTCCACTAATGTTGGGATAACATTTCCCCCACCTCATACTGAAACCCATAACCAAACTTTGGCTGATCCTAAGTGGTGCCATACCTGCTCTAATGTTCCAATAAATGTTAGATTAACAGAGAAATGCACACATGTAACTCTTCTGTCCTCATAGCCAACATTAACGTTAAATCCTGTTCATAGAAATTTAGCATTTTTAGCCAGCAAAACTAACTTGTCTGTTCAAAAAACCATGGCAGTAAAAAACAGACTTTAAGAGAATCCTGCTTCAGTATCAGCCATGAGTACAAAACAATACTTGGCCTCAAATTCTCTCACCACTTCAACCACACATTTACATTGTCAGGTAAGTGTTAAAGTTTTATTGATTGTAGGTTGTTTTGTAGTCTTGTAAATGTTGTGTGTATGATCCCGTGAATTTTATAGCAGTCCTGTAGAAGTAGGGGACCGTACAAGGTATTTTACCGATAGTTTTACTCATTTTTTTTAAATTGGATTGTTTCTTTGGGCGCCATCTTCAGGGTAAAAATTGCAAAGCAACAAAATCTCTTTCTTTGCTTTTTATACTGATAAATTAGTTGCACAGGAAAAAAAAATAAGACAGACATAGGAGAGGCATCTTAGACATGTAATTTCATGATAATTATTGAGGTTCTGATCAGTGGTAACTTTGTTAATGAAAACTATGATGATAAATGCTCGTCAACGACCCATTTTTCTATGATGAAGACGAGTCGATGATGAACTTAAATACATCACTGATAACAAAAACTGTGAGGAAAACAAATTTTATTTTCATAGATGAGAAAATGACTGAATGAAATAGTTCTAGGTGGAAAGTCAGTCTTTTAGAATTCAAAAAATTTAAAATAGGGGTAAGAAGTTAGTGGGAGTGCAGTGTTAATTACCATGGTAACCACAGTTACGAATCTTGTGATCTATTATCTTAAAACATAATCTTATTACAAATCTAATTAACTCTTTTGGACTATTTTTGGCATACAACCTTGTACTGCATTTTAGAGGCACTGACATAGCTGGTATCACTATCTTTACAAGTTCTTTACACATAATCTGTTCATATATATGCTGTCTCCGTAAAGGTGCTATTTCCTTACATTTTTCCATTTTCAACACTCCATAAAAACATAATGCAATAACACCACCCACAGGAAACTTCTCTCTGGTCCTGCTGAGCCCATAACAATATGGTGTATTAATTTTTTCCACTTTTTCCACATACTTGCACACAAATCTCTCCTGAGTGGCCAACCACCTGCTTTACAAACAGAGAGAAATATAATGCCAGAAGGGAAACGAGCAAAAGGTACTATCTTGGGTGAGTAGAGTCTTCCACTGCGCATCGTACTGGGCAGTCAGTGTGTCTGCAGAGTGTTGAAATATGACCAGAAACCGAGTTAACTGACATGTATACAGTGTGTATCTGATTCCAGTATCAGGGAAGTCCAATAAAAAAGGCATAAAATACAATAAACAATCCCTGAAGGCACCAGAGAGCTTACATTCTTGATTTTAGCTAAATCAAGTCAATGCCAGGTCAAGAGAAAGTCAAAATGGAGCCAAATACTATACTGAAGGAGTTTAGGGCACAATTACACCCTTAAATATGACAACACAAACTGGCAACTACATGACCAAGTTCCTGCACCAGAGTTTCTTTGTCTTGCTGGATTGCGTTGGTCCATTTCCTCCACTGTCTATCGCCCTGGGCAGTCTGTAAAAACTTAAGCCTCACTTCCTTCTGAATCCATTTATTCACTCAATTGCACAGCAACACTTTGACGTTCCAGCAGTGTTTTGTTTTCCTAGTGTTGTAAAAGCACCAAAGCTGAGTGTTTAACAAGACAGAGAAACCATGACACATGTTTTTCTCTGCCTGTTTGCATGTTGCAGAAACGGTTACAAAGAAAAATGGAAATGAGCTCCTTTGCTAAGTTCAAAAGATAATCTTTATTCATTTAAGGAAATCTTGCTGGGATCAAAATCCTTCCGTCTGAGAAACATGAAAACAAATTATATATTGGCCTTGGGCTGTAACATGATGCATTTTGTTCTTGGTCGTGATGAACTACTTTAATATTGTCATCTAAAAAACAATGTACAGACTTCAAAAAGTAGACAAGAGTGTGACAGTCTGTACAACAGCGTAATTACCTTAATTGAACTTAATTACCTTAAAAAAGACTTGAAAGTTTCACATACAGATCATTTCTACTCACAAAACTTTCATTAAGATAGTGTAACCAGGCAACAAAGTACAAGGTTGGAAAAAGAAAACCAAATAAAAGTGCACTTCTGTAGTTCAAGTTTAAAGTTTAAGCCTGTAAAAATGCCCATTTCTACAGCAGAATCAAACAATTTTACAACCACACACAAAAAGAGCCTTGGTTCCTGTACCTCATTTATTAAGAAACAACAGTAATCCATGGTTATACATAATAAAGGGCATGACCGATTGAACAGACAGGCGACTGCCTTGTAGATTTTGTTGTTTGAACTCCATACCTACACTGGTTAGACCATCATCTTTGGGCTTCATAACACCTCTTTAGAAACCATGGATGACATATATGAGACTAAGTCAATGTTTTATAAACTCTTTGGATATAACAGACGGGTCACCAGCCATGAAACACCTGTGAGAGTTTTTTTTTTTTTAGTTTATCCAACAAACAAAGAGTAATTATAGTTAGGTCAATTCCTTATCTAAAAATAGACATATAATAAATAAATAAAAAAGCTGCTTTCACTTATAAACTAAGACGCAATGTTATTTGTTTTTGTTTTTTATCTTCTTTTTATCCACAAAACAGTACCTTCTAATCCCACGCTTCCGCACTGTTATTGGGTGGTAGCAAATACCAAGAGGTTTGCCTTTAAGTGAGTTACCACAGTATAAAAGCCACCTCTATCCATGTACACAAAAGTCCGCTTTGACTAAATGTTCCACCATAAAACATGACGATCCAGTACACTAAATCAAGGAGTGCCTATGCAAAATCATAACTAGCCTGTGATTATTTCAGGGAACTGATTAATTGTTTTTTAAACTTTAGGTGTAGAGTTTTGAAGACCATCCACAGTGGTCACCGTGTTGGAAATGCAGGCTCAACCTAACTTTCGGTCAACCTTGCAAGAGGCAAATAGGTGGATTTAAAGCTACAGCGTCCATCAGTCAAGGCTACCTGAGTGAAATGCCTTCTTTCTCTGGGCTTCATACATAATATAAGCAGTACCTTAATAGAGAAAAAAAAAGTCAAGTTGTTTTTGATCTTGAAAGTGATGAATAATCTGGATCTGGGCTGACACTGGAGTCTGTGGCTAACTAGCCTCTATTTCAACTGACGTATACATTTAGCAACTCAGCTTAACCCTCCCAAGTGTTGCAAAGGGACAGATGGCTGTGTTTGATGAAAAACGGATGTCTAAAACCCTTTAGATCGACCTCTGTGGGCTTTTCTACGACATGCCTCAGAGAGTAGCTCCCCACAGCAGTTGACAGCTTATCTCAACACTTAATATGATGTTCAACTGTTGGGAAAAGAAACACCCACGAGATACCGAAAGCTTATACCTGGTTTGACATATGTATAAACAAAACAAAACCTGAGGTACTTCACTTTAGCTGCAGGGACTCTATCCAGCCTCACATGCAGAATGCCCTTCATATTAGGACGGACAGCTTTTTGGATGCGACTTGTGACACCATGCACATACACAGGCATAAACACAGCAGAGGTGTAAACACAGCACACACTTCACACTGGATTGTGTGTTCATGCACGACCTTGAATGCCACACTGAGCTGATCACCCTGTGCAAACAAGCCTCTGTCTGTCACATTCAAATGTCACATCCTCTCACTGGGACGCTCTTTTTAACTGACATATGTCACCTTCCAATTTGCCAGTGGCCACTCTTGGCTATTTTTCTCCTCTGCTAATTGCTCTAGGCACCCTTTGCCATCTTGCTCCTTTTTTTCTCTGGGATTAGAGGGGAAAAAGCCCCCAAAAGATGTACCATGGTCCCCCTGATGAATAGACAGCTGCTAGAATACCAAACAGACACAGCAGGGAGTCCTCTAAGTGACACATCCATAAATGTCATGAAACAATGACATCAAATATGATCAGAAAGGGCTGCTCCGTGCTTCAAAAATCATGATAGCGACGGCCCTGAATACCCCCGAGAAGACAACCCATCTATACTGGAAATCAAAGAACAAATGTAATAACTGACACTGGAAGAATCTTTCAGTGAAAGTATATTTCCAAACAAATGTCAACCTAATTCAATAACAAAACAGCTGATATTAATAAAATATAGTCAGCATATCGAGCTGGGTTAGTGCCAAATTTCAAATCTACAGTGTCGGCCCATTATTCTTCATTCAACACTAAGCAAAACACTCTTGTTACTCAGACACTCCCTTAGAATAACTTTATGTTTTTTATTTTTAAGGCGTTTATTTAAGCACATCCCACTTGCTTCTCTTCTAATATCCATTAATGTGTTATTTACATTTCCAACTTAAATTTTGTTTATTTTATTTATTTATTTATTTTGCATTTATTTATTTATTTTCTGCAGGATAGAAAGATTCAGAAGATCTTTTGTACCAACAGCCATCAGGCTTTATTACTCTTGTGTAAATAGTAGATAACTTTTAGAGACATGTCAAGTGAGACAGCAGATAGCTGAATTTCCCTTCGGGGATTAATCAAGTTCTTCTTATAACTCTTATTCTTAATTTTAGTTAATGTACTACTTTATCATAGTTAATTAACAATATCATAATAGTACTACATTTTTCCTTGTGATATTACAACTTCATTCTTTAAATCTCAAAATATCTATTCCCATTTGGCCCAGTTCCCCTATCAGAAATTGATGTAATAATTATGGTATTTTGGTTTTGGATGTGCTTGTTGCATGTTACTGTCATTTCTATTGCAGTTAATATTATGATTGTTGTTTGTCTGATTGTTATTGTTATTTTCATACCTGTTATCACTTTTCTTATTCTTCTGTTATTGTTTTCATTGTCTTGCTTGCATTTTGAAATAATGGACATCATCTTTTGCTGACACTCACAAAAATAAAATAATAAAATAAACAAAAATAATAATATCTGTAGACACTGCAGGCAGGTTGTTGAGCTACACTAACATTCTCTTAAATCATCTCAAATAAAAACATGATTTTCCTATTTGAAATGACTGCATAGGAAATCTAAAACAGTTACTACCAAGTGTCAAGATATCAAGAAAAATACAGTTTAATCTTGCTTCTGACATGAATATGTCTTGTTATGAATTCTAGGGCATAGCAAGTATATTTTTCTATCAAAATCCAATTCAAATATGTTACTCGCTCATATGTATTGCATTGTAATGCACATGGATTAATGGCTGGTATATCATTAGATTGCTAACTTTAATCATATACCAAAAATTTCATTTTTCATGTATTATTACACTTGTTAGTATTATGGTTGTAGTTGCTGAGCTGTTGTTGATATTGTTATCCTTCATTATTGATTGCATTTGTCACTGGTTGCCATGGCAGCGGCGTTGTTGATGCTATAGTTACCGGTGTCATTGTTCCTGTTGTTTCCATTGTAATAGTCCTTGTTATTACAGTAATTACGGTAATAACTGGCTGTGGATTGAATTGAAATTTCTGACGGAGAAGCTAAGAGTTTGAATTTCCAGCTCTTTACTTTGTTTTTTCTTTTTGTCTGCAGCCAGTGAGCAACCTTGATCAGACAAATGATTTCATCCTGTTAGCACTCTGTACAGTGACAAAGGACAAAGAACACAGAGGCGTGGTTGTCAAGGCAACATGGTTAAAGAAGGCAAAAGGCAGACGTGTGTGTGTGTGTGTGTGTGTACACAGATATACACAGGCATTGGCACATAAGCACTTACTCATTCACTGTTGGTCAATGACAGCTCCGCCTGGCTGGAGGATATTCAATCTATGAGCGGACTCTGGCAGAGTCACAGTGCGGTCATTAGAGGCGATGGCAGGGGGCTACGTGCAAGGCTAAACATACAGGCAGGACGCTCAGAGGCGCCGAGGGAGGAAAGATGTGACGCATGAAAGACACAGACGCACACACAGACACTCTTCGCTGCTGCATGAGTAGAGCATGTGACAGCCGCCGACGCTAACATGCAGTACACGTGCTGCATGTGGGAGATTGAAGAATCAGAGTTTTTGTTATTGGAATTGAAACTCCTACTCGTGCAATGATTACTGTCACAGAATTAAAGCATCTGTAATAACACCATGATGCATCTCCGTTAACCTAAACTGAAGCCATATGGATCATTCCTCCTGCTGTTTTGAGATCTTCATCCCTGTTAGCACACGGTTCCTCTCCAAAACACTGAATGTGGTTTTGTCTCGGCAACAAAAGCTGTGTGGTTGAGGTAAGGAGGAAAGATAGTGGTTTTGAGGAATTCGTCCTTTGCTGTCCCTGATTTTTCACTGTGAATCCAAAACCACCATCTTCCCTTTATTGTAACTAAAGAGTCTGAGAGGCTTAACCACAAAAAAAGAAGGAAAAAAGAAACAAAGCTGTAAATACTCAGTGTGGGTTTTTTAGGAAGACAAGTGAGAAAGCGGTGGGAGAATACAGAGGAGATCTATTCACTGTTTACTCTTCACAGCTTGAACATTCAATTGCTTTAGAACAAACTGTAAACAAGAAGGAAGATCTCCTTAGAAACCTTTTTTATTTAAATAACATGGATGTTTGTGACGCCGCAGGTTTCTGTTAGAGCTATTTAAAAAAAGCAGTTTGAACAAAAATGCATGACAGCCTGTTGGCAATCCATTATTCACCAGATACATAAATCCACAACTCGATCCAGACTGAATGCAGCTCTTCTTTTACATCATCTGCTGCCTCACAGGTGAACCCACATAAATCGTTATGATCATTTATGAGTGTTTATAACTATAGTTATACAGCGCTATAACATGATTATAACGCATTATACATATATTTATAATGTGTTATAGAAATAGGCATCAAGTGTTACCATGATGTCCCTCTACAAAGATTACAGAATACTGTTATCACCGGTTTGAAGATGCATGTTGATTTTTGTACACACGTGTTCTGTCTTGAGTGCACACACTAACCAGAATTACTTGCAAACACTAATGCAGCCACAGCAGGAAAGAAATGAATAATCTGTGGCTAATAGAAAAATGCAGTCTTATACATAAAGTTTAATTAGATGAGCCATTATGTACCTATTTGGAGTAAAATATGCCCCTGTCTATGCAAACAAGTCTCAACGCAATTAACACGAAACTTACCTGTGCTGAAATTCTGACTTCCTGCTGAGAGAAGGTGGTAATTGCGCTGAGGTATGAATATATGTTATCACGCTCAAACTCTTCAATAGCCAGGACAACGCAGCCGATAAATATTATGTTCACACATAACGTTTGTCAATATTACCTTAAGTTATTACTTTTGCATTAATTAGGAGATACATCAGTCTGGGGCTCATTTCCTGCACTTACAGGCTGTGCTATTATGCACAAGGGAGTGTTTCCCGTATTCATCTGAAAAATCTGTTTAGGTTAGCTTGTTTTAGAAAGTAAACTGGACAGAAACTGTGCTGTATGTGCCGCATTAGTCATGAATCATCTCCACGATGAAATGAAAATGTGTCATCAGGACGTTGAACAAATTTAGTAAATTTGTTGAACCATCAGGGGTGATGTGTCCAAATCACAGGTCAACTGTAGTCCACTGCACAGACAATTTACACCAATCAGGACACATTACACCTCTTTACTTTCCTTGAGTCCTAGAAGAGCACCTTTTTCAAGTGGGGCATATTAAGTTTATAAAAGGGAGCTGGAAAAAACAGAATTGGTCCCATTTTCTGAAAAAAACGGTAGTCGTGTTTGAGGAGAATATGATTTAAGGTTGTAACATGCAATTGAAGAAAATACTGGTGCAGTCAGTTTTCTGAAAGGACAGTTTGCAAAAGCATCAAAAGCTCAATAACTGACTAACTCCACCATGAACATATTCATCAGGAAATGGAAAATGAAGAACGGATAAGTCATCATAAATGTGTGATAACATAGAAATATCGTTTCCTCAGTAAGAGGGCTGAACTTGTATTCTTTCTTAAGACACCCCAAGGCAAAGTTTCGTCAACAGCAAACTGTTGTCTTGCTGTCTGTAGTCTTTGCCCCCAAAGCTATTGTTTTGCATAGTTTCTTTAACCCCTGAACCCCGAACTGTTTGTAATGTAAATGTTTTGGAGAACTGTCGCAGTCAGTGGAAGTCACACCGTTTAAGGTCAGCTGAATTTATTCCACCCCATTAAAGATGACTGTGGCTGATGCTGAAACACTGACTTTTCAAAACTCTGTTTCTCTCTCCCGGTGAATTTTTCCTTGAAACTGTATGGTCATACTCCACTTGGAGTAAATTTATGCTGGTCCACACATTTCCACACTGAGAGTTGAACTCTTAAAGCAGGTGAACTTCTCAAGAGTTCATTCGTTCCCAAAAAAAAAAGATGCAAGCGAGCAGGTAAACAGAGCGGTGTTATCTCGCCGATGTTTTTCATTTAGTGTTTGTTACTTCACACAGTTAGACGCTCACACGCAGAGGACATTAGTTAGCTCGTTAGGGACTTTATTGTCCACAATGTGGGAAACTGTCATCACATTCAGCACACAGGATTGAAAACTGCACAAGACTTCACCAAGACAGAAAAATTACCACTGTTAGAAAAATCTTTCAGAGATGACAAGAGGCAGACGCCAGAGTTCAGGAAATGTTATGAAAGTACATTTATAGAATACAACCAATGTGTCAAGTGGATACACAGACATGGTCCCTGATTTGTGGTTTCAGAGTCTTTTATCCTCATTTTCTCAGTCTTCTTGGATCACTGTCATCATTTCCAAATATCATCAACAGGCAATTTAAATAAGTAACACTTGCCCTCAGTTTCTGTTTATCATATGTCTGCTGTCCTTGCAACACAGTGACCTTGTCCTTTACATTTAACTGTTTGGTACAACTTTTGACCTCCGACTAATCCTATAGATCAAGCCACATGCCTACCCTCTGTCACCTACCCCTGCAGTTTTGAATCCCGTTTCTCCAACAACAGTCAATTTCTTGTCCCTCTAGTACTTCAATTTTAGTGTAGCATGAGCCCCTGTTTCCATTAAGAGTTTAGAAAAGCAATGCCTCAGCCTCAGCATGTCCATTACACTTGACAAAAGCGAATCATCCTCAAAAGAAATACTTCCTTGAGTTAGTGAATTGAACCGGCTGCAGAGTCTCTATAATCTATTTATGTCTGTCTCCATTAGAGGTCTGATGGCAAAACCATCAGTGTTGAGAAGTGCCAGAGGAATGCCATGCTAGAGCAGAAACCCTTAGTACCCCAGCGACAGAGCGCCCATTGTTAAATTTTGTGCAGACTTACAGCATGTTTCTCCTCACTGAGATAGTTTTCTGTCAAGAATTCAAGAATTACAGGAAACAGAGATACAGAAAAATTCACATTCAGAGCATCTTGGAGCAGTGTTGTGAATTTTTTACTCAATGAGGATTTCATGATTGTCAAACCATTTTAGTTTAGAGTCAAATAAACTATGACGTGTACTGGGAATGCAAAGTCAAAGTACTCTCCTCAACCTATGTTTGGAAATGTCACTGGTCAATCATCAATTACCCACTGGGAAAAAGACAGGTATTACTGGTATGAAGATATACTGCCAGTCCTGGAAAACTCCCACCAGTCTGTCAGCTTTACAACCCAATGATGTGGGAGCCATCATGGAAACCTGGCACATGTCTGCAGCCCACAGCTGAATGGAAGATATCCTTTAAATGATACCACCCACTGTAACATGAGACCACATACTGATTATACCTTAGGGGAAAAAAAGTATGCTTGAGCACATTCATGACAATCAATAAGTCAATACTCAATTACATAATAACATCTCTGGGTATGTACCTATTTCACTAGTATGTGAACCTGACATTAGTAAAAATGAATGCTCTCTGCATTTAAAAACCACAACAATGAATATAAGTATACAAGGTTTTTCAAAAGTGCCGTTTCTTGAGAGTCTCAAATACAGAAAGATAAAATAATGCTTCAGAGAGCAGCATTTGTGCAGCTTACTTCTGCAAAAGGGTTTCCTATAGGACAAACTGTGATGTAACATATAGTTTAGAGTTAAATAATTTAGTCATTCTGTGTTTTGCTAGGCTGATAAATGATTCAGACCTGGCATTAAAGTAAATTCATGGGCTTGACATTAACATATTTCTTATATGAAAAAGGTTAATGCTCCTTATCAAGGTCTGTGTTGAAATTATATGTTTCTTTAATGCTGATCCTTCCTTACGGTGGAGATAGCAGAGATTGTTTTATGGCTAATGGTGAAAACTGTCCACAGCAGTGTTTAATGTTTTAATAGAGGCCTATATTCTATTCCACGTTCCAAGTATTCCATTGGAATCTCCTCTGAATAATGAATGTTTAATTTGAATGAAAAACAGCTTTTACTGGAAGTCTGATGAGTCATGCATTTACTAAAGAAACCCTTATGGTTCATTACAGTCATTTAATCCAGTCTATACCACCCATATCCATGTTTGAAAGTTACCCAAGTGCAATATAGATATCACTAGGATTACAAACCCTGATTACACTGTGGGTCTTTTACATTAATGAAGCCAAGCAGTGCAAAAGCTTATATAAAACGTGAAGAAAATGATGACTCTGGGTAAGCTTTTACTGCTTGCAGTAGAAACAGTTGCAGAAAAAGACCAGTCTCAAGATGCATTATATGGCAATATGGCATACAACTGGCTTGAACCATATCTACTTTAAGGCTTTCTCTCTATATTTGAAATTTTAGTCTGCATTATAGAAAAGTTCATATTTGAAATAAAATGAACTATCAAGGTACTCTTGGCGTAACCTGACTATTGCATGTACTCTTGCCTTCTGAAAATCAATACAGAGATATTTTTCCACAAACATGGAGGATTTCCTCACTCAAACCATCTTGATCTGACATCAAAACACCTGAAAAGTAATGTGTGAAAGTATTATGGGTTCTACATGTAGGACTAGTTTGACAGATTGGCTGATAAGACTGCCAACAGGCTGTTTGTTTCATACGGACATTGTGATAATCTAAGTCAAAGGCTGTCCTCATTTTCTCCTGTGATCTGAAATTTGACATCTTCTATACAAGAGGGCAGTTTCGTTTAAAGCCTTATTGTGCTGCTATTTTCACGTTATGGTACTTTTGTGTTCAACATTGTAAAAGCCAATAATAACATGCTAATACATTTGTGCCATAATCTATATAATTTTAAAATTGATTTAAAAAGTGACAGCCCTCATCGACTTACGTTAGATGAGTGTGGTACAATTAAGTTAAGTGTTGTCGATAAGGTGTTTCTATTTTCATAACAGCCTTATATTTTCTTTAAGTCAAAATTGGAGTAAAGAGCAGTGGTTTTACCGAACAGATCCCTTCATTTGTTGATATAATTAGGGTTGTAAAGGGTATCTCCAACACTTTCCATACTCTTCCATAAAGGCGTTAAACTGTAAGAGTTCAGAGACTAGAACATGATAATGATTTACATCAATTTCACGCTCATTAAGCTGTAGTGTGACCCCCTCTGCTCTTTATAGGAGTTTCTGCATTCATTAAATTTCTTTCATCATCATATTCAGTGTTTCGTTTTCTTCTCTTTCCATGTCAGCATTCAAAACACTGACTTTTAATTTAAGCCACTTAGCACTTCTGGTTCTTAATAATATCAGTGACCTTTTGTTTTATTAGACTGGCAAGACGACTTATAGTCTAGTGGTGATATATAAACTGAAGGGCTGCTCGGTTCAAGAGGCTTCATATGATTGCCCCACATATGAGGATGTTTCTACATACTGGGGTTGCTACAGGTGGGGATATGGACATTTATGTCATTCTCATTAGTTAGACGCAGAATTTTGACCTAGTTTAACAAATGAATTGTATATCTTCTAGTAAAGCGAGTTTTGTCGATAATTTGGCACGAAAAGTGATGATAACGTTGGATCTAAGCTGTCTGGTTAAATCGGCATGTAACCTCTCGACTGGGGCAACCAGCATAGGCAAGTGGTGGTGCTAGCTCTGCTAAGGTTAGCCACAATTGGCAAACAAATCTGACATAATGGACCCACATTGCGCAATGCTGAAAATATTGTGTTCAATTTTAACTGTTTTCTGGGCGTTTTCTTGACAAGCCAGTTAGTCAAAATTCAAATATTAGACAAACAGTTAAGGAATTTAGCCACCTCAGAGCATCCAACAATTTTTTTTTCTGTTTTATAGATTTTTGAAAGAGTAGTATGTGGATAAATTACTGTTATTTTAATTCTTTTTAAAGAAAATAATGCAGAGAAGCATGTGTACAATAGAGATGCACTGAATGAAAAATTCTTGGCCGATACCGATTTCCGGTTTTAAAGGAGGTCTGACCTGCCAAAACCGTTTTTTCCGATTTTCTATCTAAGAAATAATTATAATCATATAATAGACACCGTATTTGTTTGGCTTGAGTACCCTTTCCCAAATTTAATACAAGTACCCCTCTCCCAGACAATATTTTGCTTATATAATTGCGATTAAAACCACAACTAATGGTAGGCTATATGCTATCATAACCCCCCTTTTCAAGATTAAAACCTCACAAATAAGAAATAGAGTGAGAATTTCAACAGTGGCTCCTGAGCAGATTTATTTTCAACACTGACCATAACATTCAGTCCAGTTTACAGGTCAATAACTAACTTACATTCAAACAACATTGGAAAACGTCCCAGCATTTGCCTGGTACAATGTAATTTATTGACTACCCCTCCAGCACCTCTCTCAAACGCTCTCAAACAACTCTGGCAGCGCTGTGTCAGAAAAGTACCGCCTACTTGGTAATTCGTACCATGGACTCAGGTGTTTCGTCAGATTTACGAAGCCTTTATCCTGTACTACGCTAAACGGCTGGTCGTTCAGTGCCATGAACTCCATTATTTTCCTAGTGGTGGCTTTGGACTTTTCAGTGTTGATGTCGAACATAGGAGCCACGGCGGAGGGTTGTTGTGGTTGCTGCGACTCTGCTGCATCCCTCCTCTTAGCGGCAGCGTCGTCCTTATATTTGCTAAACAAGCCTGGGTGCTTCTTTTCTAAGTGGCGTATTAAGTTTGTTGTTCCAAATGATGTTGATCCTCCACAGCTGACTTTTGACTTGCAAGTATTACAAACAGCATGTTTTGGGTCGCTCTGGCACACAGTGAAATAAGTCCATATCACCGACATGTTTTCTTCCTGAGTCTTGCTAGTTTTTAGCTGTTGTGCTCTGAGCTGATACGTACCGCGCATGCGCAAGCGGGTCAGTTTGCTCGGGGAAAACCGGCAAATTACGACAGTGACCGGCTGGTCACTGGTTGGGGCCGGTTGGATATAAAAACGGCTTTTTTAATCGGCGGCCGATTAATCGGTGCATCTCTAGTGTACACTTAAGAGGTTTCACATTTTGTGCTCATTCATTAAGTTAACAGCACATTATTACTGATTTATTTGGTTTTTCTGCTAAATAAGTGAAGTAAGGATAAATTTTCCAATACTCCAATACTGTTAAGATACACGGTAGGCTGAGGTCAGCAGAGAGATGCTGGTATGAAGATGAAAAAGGATTTTTATGTAACCACCCACAAACAGTTTCAGAGAGTTAGTTTTTTCCTCTGTGTAAAACAATGATCAATTAATCATGGCTAATCTTTAGACCCTTTTATGCAATGAGTGAGATTTGTCGGGAAAGTCAAACAGCATCCATTGCTCTCTTGTGCCACACATTTCTTATGTTTGTCAAGTTTCATTAATCTCTCCATTCAATCGCATCCAGCACGGTCCTTGAAAATACTTTCCATTTTCACAACCAGTCCTTGGAGGCTCTGTGAGAAATGTAGCGCAAAAGCGGGAGAGAGGGTAGTCAGCGAGAGGGAGGTGGTGAAAACTCCCAGATTGATTTTCCCATCATGACTTGAAATAGCATATTTATTGATTGCTTATAGGCAAGGAAAAGGGTGAAGGGTGAAGGTCTCGGGAGATGGTGGAATCTACGTAAGGCAATCACCCTTTTTGCTCTGCAAATGAAGGTCAGCAGAAGGTTCAAAAGTGACCCTTCTGCTGCAAATATGCAATGTTTATGGTAAAAAATTAATTGATGTTCTCCATTTACAAAAAGATCCATAATGTTCCCACTTTACCTCAGGGATCTTAGAGAGCTCAGCTGTTTTAAAGGTTAAATGACCCTGAATCTTTCACGGCTGAGCACTGTGGTAGTTGGTGGTGTTGTGTAAATATTGTAAGGGTTGTTTCAAGTTTATTACACTATTGACCTCAAAATGTGCTTCAATGTTGCATCAGCTATGGAGACTGTTTAAATTCATACATGAATGAGCGGCAGTCTCAACCGTTTTCTACTACGCTGTAAACACGGGATCTAATGTGGGATTCTTCAGTTTTGGTAGAGCGCCTCTAGTGGACACTTGAGGAACTTTTATACACTAACATACTGGTTTATAAGTAAGTCTTGATGAGTTTTAATTACCTAAGAAGACATCATAAAGTGTGTCACCTCTGTGCCAAACAGTCATCTTTTAGATAAACCCGAGGCACAAGTAATTACTGATCCAAGAAATGCTATTTCAAAAACAGACATCTATTTTACTTTCATTATTTCACCTGAGACTGCTTAGAGTTCACTCAGAGTGCAAGAACCAAAAAAAATTTTAATAAATAGATAATATTTAATACTTCTAATTTATGATTTATGAGTATTTCTGTCTTGATTATGAAACGTTCCATCAAGAAGAGGTCTTTTCAACGTGGAGATAATGGACTTCGTCAGCATCTTTTCATGTTATTCCAGGAGAGCTGAGATCTTATCAGACTAACTCGCCTCCCACTCCTCCAAGCTGTCGACTGTCTGCAAAGTAACAAAGACTTGTTTGGTATTTTTCTTTCTTATGCGTGCTGCTTCTTCTGTGTGCAGCATGAACTCGGACTGGTCCTTGGCTCCTGGCCATCGAAAAAGAAATAAAAAACTCCACTCATGAGGATATTTGCATTCGAGAATGATATTATTGGGTTCCTTGATGAAGCGGACTTAAAGCTGCCCCTCTGACACCCAATGAATTGCAAAAAGGCTTTATTGCCATGAAGGATTTCAAATATCCCAGAGCGACAGCATACAATCTTTTTAATCCCAAAATGATTTTGCAGAATTCAAATTTCCATTTTAAGTGCCACACACACCTCACAATTCCAAGATAAATGAGAAATTTCTTCTCTGCCTTTTCCAGGGGCACATTTGCACACTCCCATAATAGCAAGACCCCATCAGCACACAATGTCTGGTGCAGAAAGTACACTGGGGCCGATAACTTTCACTTAGAAGCTGCATGATGAAACGTGCAGCTGCAAGAGACCTTCTCATCTAATGTTTTATCTTAATGTGAAATGAAGGAATTGCAGTGATTGGAGAGCACCTTAATAACATGTCATTCCTACAAAAAAAGTGACATTTATCTGACTTTGCTGGTTGCTGGTTCAATCCCAGCTTCTACAGGTCTGAATCACCTTCATTTACTTCCACTACAACCACCTGCTTTGACAAGAGCCACATCTTTGTGGCGGCAGGTAATTTTACTTATTAGAAATGCAATCTTTATCCCACAATCACTACCAATTTTATCCTCATAAGAGTTTCTCTGAACAGTCAAGTAAAGTCCTTTCTCACAAAGACCAAGTTTGAAATACAAATCAGCTCAAAAATGCCAAATCATTCAAGAGATATCTGATTTTTGGGAAACATGACAGAGAAGCTTGAGAAGCCTGTCTCCTTCTGCTCATCTGTGCTGTGATGTTATCACTCAAGCGTACATAAAGAGCAAGTTATCCACATTTGAACATATGAACAGTGATCTGGTTAGCAAGCAAGTGGGGTCACACTAGATCAGTGGTTTATGGCAGTCGCACAAAAGCAATTTCCTTTCAAAAACCTCCCTCTGTGCAATCTAAGCTTCGGAGACATGGAGAGTAAGAGGGAGAGAGAGAGGGTGAGTGAGAGAAATGACAGCTGACAAGTTGACACCTGCACCTTCTCCACAATATTTGTACCTTCATGAGCCTCTGATTTGCCTAAAAGCTTCTGATTTTGCACATTACATTACAGGGTTTTATGCAGGTTTCATAATTTATGCACGTGTAAAGACAGGGAATATGTCGTACATGTATGTTTAGGGGGTGGACAACATAACTGAAAGTAAGATGAGCAAATTAAAGTGACTTATGAACAGGCTTAACGAGGCACAGTTATTATTAGAAGTAATCAGATATAATTGACAAGGCTCGACGATGTGACCGTTTCACTTGCATTTGCAGTTAAAAATAGATGTGTGCATATTGTAAAATGTATCCAGGGGCACATGTGCATGTAAAAAAAAAACAACCGAGCCGACAAATGTTTTTTCATGTAAATACCACAGAGAAGTTAGTTTTAGGTTGGATATTCGACGGACATTCCCTGCGGATCTACTGGTGTCTTCTCACTCTCCATAACCGGAAATAGCAACAGCAGCGCGGTTAAATCTACTCGGCACCCTGGCTGTCAACCTCGGGTGTTAAATAAGGGACCATCAATAAATTACCGGTTGATGCTCTCAGAAAAGACTGTTTTCCTTTAATAGCTTCCATGTCACATGACCAATTGACCTAAAATTGATTTCGAATATCAGTAGTAAGGTCGGACAAGAAGACACAACTCTTTATTTTCCTAATTTGTCCTCCAAAGATTTTTTGTGTTAAATTTAAAGGAAAATTTTGATCATTTTCTTCAACAGCTTCCATTTCATGTGACCAAAATACCTAAAATTGATTTCAAATAATAGTACTTATGTCGACCAATAAGACACACATTATTTAATCAATTTACATTGTGCCCCCAAAGTTCTTTGTGTGCTCCTTACTTTGTCAACTTAGGAACACATGCACTCCTTTAGAAAAAAGTTAGTGTCAAGCCCTGATTGAGGTTGAACCCACTGAAAGTTTTATCTGATTCTGTTCAAATCTCCATAAAAGCAGGTATGCTTCCTTCTTTGTTACAGAGATAAAGTTTTGACCATAACCCTCTCCTCTACATGTGCGCAAACCCCCAAAACACTCAAACACAGGCCTTAAAAGTATCTACCTCTCATCCCTCCCATCCTTGTGATTTTAACCTTAAAGGCAGTTATACAGGACATTATGTAAAAGCATGTGGTAGAGGCCGGTGAGTGAAGTCATTGTGGAGGCTAACCTTGAATATATAAGCTCAGGGGTCAAGGCTGAGCGACCTACTGCACAGGACTGATCTACTCAAGATATTGAATGTATCCCTGCTTCAGGGGGGCACTTTGCTGCTGACCATGTGCTTTGACCTCGTTATGGAGAGGGCAAAAGATTGACTAATTTCTCCCATGGGTAATGAAGGAATTAAAAAAGCGGGGACTAATTGGCAATTGCAAGGTCTGGACTGAAGGCCGGCGGCTACAGAGGCAGAGCTACATGGCACATCCATCTGAGGAGATACAGCTTGTAAAACCCACATAATCCTTAAAACTGCCTCTGAGGAGCAGGTTTTGAAGACGTGCTTTTATGTAATAATTATTATTCTTATCATGCTCCTCAGTTTAATAAGTTTTAATCCTCATAAAACTCACAGCTGAATGAATTACTCACTTAAAGACTGTTTATTTGTGGAAAGGTTTTTTTAGGAAACTTTGTTCTCTTTTTTGAAAACCAGTTAAAAGAAGATTAACAGACATTTATGCATTACTTGCCATAATTTAGAGCAAATCCTACATATATTTAAAGTTCATCAAGCTTTTCTTGGCTTTTTAATTATCTCTATGAATAAATATCTGCTACTGAACTTTAAAAAAGTTTTTTGTTTCTTTTTGTAATCTGATCTGTTTTTCTTGGACCTTTGTTGCATGTAGGAAATCCGTCTGATCAGGCTGCATTTATCCGTAGTCTCTGTAAACACATGGTCTGCTGCTGTTGTTGTTTTACGAGTGCATCCAAAACCAGATTGTTAATTCTCATTTGACAACAAAAGAGGAAGAAAGCGCTGACGGTAAAATAATGAAAAACAAATATTCACATCTGGCAGGGCACACCTGTCTGTGACTGTCAGTGCCTTTGCACCCTGAACATGCTCTCTTTTTTCTGTATAAGACCATGTAAGAGACTCAGTTCACAGCTTGAGCTTTGTGGAGAAGCGTTTAAGAACTGATTATGAATGGCAACACTATGCCCAATACGAGTTACCAAGGGGCATTTTAAATAACGTTAGCCTACCATCTGTTAGCCTCTGGAAACTATTCAAATGAATATTCGCTGCTGAAATTCCTAGTTGGACTGTAAACGAGGATCTTGATCCAAATATCCTTTACTGGCTCTATTAATATCAGAGCCCAATAACTCTACACAAATGGCTTCTTAAGTCTAGGCACCAAAATGTCCTGGTTATATGAGGTTTAAAGCCTGGAAAGTCGTGACTGTGATACCTGTGTCAGTTCAGGCAGCCAGGAGTTTCCAACAACGGCCTCTCAATCATGGAAAAATATTCAAACCACTGAGCTGCTTTTGCTCTCCCCATTACTGTGTAGTTGTTGTTGGGTTGTGAACTGGACCATTCTTCACCTGCAGGTCCCACCTACCCCTGGTGTAATGAACCCCCGTGTGACTTGTTCAAACCTGGACAATCTAATCCTCACCCCATCCAATCTTTTACATCGGGGGCTATTTGCAGGTCTTCCCCAGTCAGGCAAGGACACTAGTCGGTGATGGACGCAGGATCTAACACAATCAGGCTGTGGTCATGATTCCCTCAGGGACCTGCTTTATTCACTTGTTTTCCTCTGTTTGGACTCCCTGATATATGTGCAAAGCTGTGCCCTGGGGGAGGCATTCAGCGAGGCCTTCTTGAAATTCCACTTGTAAAGACCCCCGGAGGTGGAGAGGAGCGGTGGATTGGTGAGAGGATTGTTGTTTCATAGTCCTGGCCGTGGATGTTAAAGCTCTAATCTCCCCAAGGTCAAAGGCAGGTATTTGTGATGAGGAGGCCGATCCCCCTACATTTTCATTTAGGACTCCTTCTGGTAAATAGACTGACCACAGCATGCCACCCTAAAGCAGCTCAAATGGCCTCTCTCGCTTCCTCAGAAGATCATCGCTAAGGAAGAGAGATGTGAGCCTGTGTTTCCCTACATCTACACCGATCTCATGTGCACTAGTATGCTGTCCTTTCATATGTGTGTTAAGGTCATCGCTGTATTTTTGTGATGGATAAGACACGCAACATATAGAGTTTATAATACGTGAGCCTCATAAAACATACTTGGGTTAGCTTTTCCTGCTGTCAGATGGTTTGTCTGTGCTGATGCGGATATTTATAGCGCTGGTCTACCAATGGCTGATATATAATGTCGATATTACCTCATTTGTTACCTCAGTATGTTCACACTACACGCTGCTCTGTGCCTCATAGTTTGGCCGAAAAAATTGGTCCGAGGCCTGGGACGATTAATCTATAAATCAATTAACCGCACGATAAATGAAAATGAACTCAATCATTTTTCCGGCCTTGATACATCGCCATGTGCATGCATGTTTTTGTTTTCCTCATCTCGCGCCACAGAGGGTTCACTCTGTGCATCGGTCTCAGCACCTGGACGCATTTGTGCCATAGCGTAATGAAATGAAGGGAGTGAACTATCTGGTCAGAATCTTTGCATCTTGGGAGGAGCATGGAAGAGCAAAGCCAAAGGCCACAGCCCCGGTGTGGGAATATTTCGGCTTCAAGTCCAATGAGCAAGGTGGGACCATCATCACAAACAAGCTAATGGGCCGACTTTGTTTAAAAATGGTAGTGACAAAAACAGCAACACAACAAACCTGCATGTCCACCTCAATCACTATCACCCGGTCGAGTTTTCCCAGCTGGGGAAAAAAATGCACCCCAAGATGCAGAGCCATCGGCCCTACAGTCAACGTTTACTGAAGCGTTCGGTCGACAAAGCAAGCAAAGCTGGAACAGCGCAAAATGGTGTGGGCTTATAGAAAGAGTAGTTCGCTCCATTGTCAAAGAAATGCTGCCATTTAATACGACTGAAAAGCCAACATTTTATTTATTTAGGATATTTAAAAGCATTTGAATGGGTGTACTTGCATTATAATGATATATTACTCGAAATTTCCCTCTGTGGGACTATTAAAGGAACATCTTATCTGACATTACATACGTTTTTATTTTGGTCTAGAATAGATAATGTTGACAATAAAATCTTTTATATCATCCAGCAAAATTTGTATTCCTCCCAGGCCTAGTTAGTCCTGTTACATGTTGTTATCCTTGTGAAATACGAACAAAAATATAGCTTTACTGGGAATGCAATGTTCAAAGATGACGGGTACATTATAGCAAATGCAAATGAACAGAGCTGTTATATATCCAATAGACTGCAAGATGTTTTCATCATTACAGTGTTTAAACACCAGTGCTTCATTTGAACCTGATTAGTTTTGAAAATTGTATTATGCAGGTCAAGACGGGGGTTATATTTTTGGGTTATGAATAGAGGCAAATTCACATTACAAGTCTTTTTTATTTAGTTCAATATAATGAGGTTCAAAATAAATCATCAGTTTTACAGCTGTGAAAACTTTTCTTTTCATACAGATTTAGTTTGGTATGTGTACACAGTACGAGAAGTCCTGTGCTGCAACGGTTCAGTACATGCATAGCTTTAAGGCTAAAACATACAGGATCCACAACGAGCACATAACGTCAGCGTCAGGTGGCACACAGCAAATAGGCTGCTATTCTAATCAATGCAGCGTTGCATACAGGACGCCTATCAGCTCCGTCACAGCTCCGTATCAGAAGTGTATCAAGTGCAGCACTGCTAAAGATACGCGCCGAGTCTATTTTTGCTGCTCTACACGTCAGTCCACCCAGAGAAGATCGTTCTAGACAGGATGTTAAGCACGAAAATGGTATTTCAAAATAAAACACCATATGCAAACTCCCGACTGTGTATCAGTTCGTGTAGATGAAAAAATACTTCCTGGTTATGGATTTATCAGTAACACAGAACAATCTGATGGTCAATCCCTGATCCATGTGGACCCCAACAGGACTTTTAACTGCTAACTCAGTCTGAAGGTAACAGCACAGCATAAAGGAACATAGTTTACTTCATTAAACACGAGTAAACCTGCAAAAACAGAAACTGTAAAATCACCTCATTTTCACATGTGAAGTGCAAAATAAACAAACAGAAAATGCTGCAATGAGACTCCCGCTCCTCACCAGCTCAAGTCTGGGTATTTAAATCGTGAAGGAGAAAGATTATAAGAACCTCCTAAACCATGAAATTTCTCCTCTTTGGTGACATTGAAATGTCATTCCACTTGGTTAAGAGGAACTGCGCTCTACAATACCAAATGCTGGTGTCATTTTCTGGCTTTCCTCGTGTGTATGGCTTCAGCTACAATACTACAGCAGGGTGCAGAAATGTTCAAATGAGACTGAGAGGGATCCACGCAGCCTGTGTCTTTTGAGCCCAATGTCTCCAGCTGATCTGATGGGATTACACCCCGGGAATGGGAAAAATTCCCCACCTCTTGATGCACATCTTTCATCACATCAGATGCCCTTTTCTGAGAGGGGCAGGGAGTGAGAATATGGTAGAGGAAGGAAAAGAGGGAGGGTGATGGAAAAATGATAGAGTGAGGAGGATGTAGAGGGAGGGAGAGACAAAGTGGGGATGGAAAATGACAATATAATATGATTTGATTTGTGGGGCAGAATGGATTCTCAGTGCCCATTTTCTGAAAGAGAGGAGATGGGGAGCAAAGAGAGGGAGGGGTGAGGAACATAGAGGAGGGTGAAGGAGGTGGGTGGAGTGTGAACAGTAAGGCCGTGGAGTTCATTTAGCACTCTCGCCGAGTGCTGGTTTGACAGCTGCTGGTGGGGGCATTAGACTGCTCGCTTTAGTCCAATTTTGTTCTCCTTTTCTCCCTGTATCCCCCTCTTTCTCCTCCCCTCTGTCTATAATAGCTGTCTTTGTCAGACCTTTAGTGTCCATCACTGCAGACTATAGATTTCAGTGGCCCAGCAGGACTCATAACACTGGCAAACACAACATTATAATTCATTAACGGTCGCAAAATAGCTGCAGGCGACAGGACATTTTAGAGGTCAGAAATTAGAAGAAAAAAAAAAAGTCTGTTTCCTTGATGCTTGTGGCTCGAGAAGTTTGCTGCTAAAGTGAAACGTTTTAACTGTCATTTGAGAGGCATGACACCTGCTCTCTGAGAATGATTGACAGAACAAATTTGAATAAATTCAGACGAATCTGACGTATCCTCCACTTGGAAAAACAAGACACTTGCTCTTGCAAATTGAGCGACTGGAAATAAGTCATTTGCAAGGAGAGTCCAGTACCTGGTTATTTTCAATTTAATGCCAGCAACACATTGAAAAAAAAAGTTGGGGCAGGGCATGCTTACCATTGTGTTGCATCACTTCTTCTTTTAACAACACTCTGGGACTGTTTGGGGACAGAGGAGATTAGTTCCTGGAGTTTTAAAAGTGAAATGTTGTCCCATTCTTGCCTCAGATAAGATTTCAGCTGCTCAATACGAAAGATATTTGTCTTATTTTTATCAGAAGTTTTTTTAAGTCAAGACTCTAACACCTGGACTATTCTACTACAGAGCCACTCTGTTGTAAGACATGAATAATATGGTTTAACATCTTCTTGCTGTATTATGCAAAGTCTTTCCCGGAGAAGGCACTGTCTGGGTTAAAGTATATGTTACCCCAAATCCTGTATATAACTCAGCATTGATGGTACCTTCCCAGATGTGTTAACTAACCATGCCATGGGCAGTCATGTGTCCCTGTACCATCAAGAATGCTGGCTTTTGAGGGGTGCATAACAAGGCTAGTGGTCCCTCTCCATTAAAGAGCAGACATTGCAGTGTCCACGACTTCCAACTTCCCACTTCACCTCAGTCTATCTTAAATGGGTCCAGACCCTGAGAAGGTACCAGTACTTGAGGACTATGTTGATGTATGGTTTCCTCTTTGTAGTTCTAACCTGCATTTGGGGGTTTGGGGAGAACTGTGTTCACTAACGGGGGTTAGTTTAAGCGATTTTAAAGGGATATTCCGATGTAAAAATCAAGTTAGGTTCAAACACACCGTAACACAGAGTTAGACACCCTGTCCGGAGATGAATGCCGACCTCTTGATTCTCTAGATACACCAACTTTAGTAATGACCGCACGATAACAATACACAGCGGTCTCAGAAGCCACACGCTCAACCAAAAAGCCACTCTTTAGCCACAAATAATGCTCAGAACATCACTTAACTTCATCAACAGTACATATAGGGTCCTAGTCACCAAATATCTTTTTAGCTTCTCTCGACGGGGTGTCTAACTCAGTGTGTTTGATCCTAACTTAATTTTACGCCGGAATATCTCTTTAAGCCCGTGTAGTGGTTTCCACCACAGAGTCATGTCTGTTTATAGTACCCTAACCCGAACCCTGAGAGACTCAATGAGCACATACATTACATTGTGTTGTTTCATTGAATTAAAACCAATGAGAATAACAAATTAATACTGTTTTTTGCCTTTCAAAAGGCGTTTGTATTCATCATTCGATCAGATGTTGTGATGTACCATGAAGATTTTTATTACAGTATCAGTCCTGTGAAATTGTTGTTCTTGTGGTTCATGCACTGAGTATCATAGTATTTTATCAGACTGCGAGTCACCCTGCAATTCCTACTTCTAATCTTTATTTCATTGTTTATTTGACAAGAACAAATGTATGAGACATTGCTTTAATACTGTATACAAAGTAGATGCCATGTATTTCCAGTTTCCAGAGATAAAAATAGAAAATACAAAGGACTGAGTACAAGATACTAGAACCATTTAACACATACAATAGGATCAATGTATGTAATCAATGAAGGACTTAAAGATCTAGACCAGCTAGAATAGACACAAGAAAGCAGTTGTACAGTGACCACGTTTCTAAGTGCACATAAGGTGTGCATGTCCTGTATATGTTTGTGTGTTAGACTCCACAGTTACTGCTAATTGACCCCAACATATCCAGACAAATAAAATACTCCATTTCCTTTACGCGGACAAGCATGCGCTTTGATAATCCTTCAAAATATAGAATAAAACCGGGCTTTGATTCAAGTGAATCCATTTCCAGGCCTTGCTTCCACAGAATGACTGTTTTTTACTAGCAGCTAAGAGGCAGCCATAATTACTCCTGTCAAGGGCCTGAACCCTCTCAGAGAGGAGCAAAACAACATTACCTGTCAACAAATATGTCTGCCTCACTGTTTCTATCCCTGTCTCCCTCTTTTTTTGATTTGCAGTTCAAAGAGCATCAATGGTGTGAAAAAGATGAGCAAATATTTTCAGTAATACCAAATAAAGCACGGGTATAAAAATAACCGAGGATGACACAAACGGAATATTTTTAGTTGATTGAAATCCGTTCCCACCTTCTGGATAAGTGTTAGAGTTTTACTCTTATAAACACATAAATACAGTACTTGTGAAACTCACCATACATATTTAATGACCCTGACAAGGCCCAGCTTGCATCTTTGTGGCTTTGCAATGAGGAGGCGTCAAAGGAAATACGATTAAAACTTGATCTAAAGCCATATTTTCTGCTGTATAAATAGTTTCAGCACCGGTATCAGAACTATTTCTAATTACATTTGTGTTTCTTTTCCACCAGCATGTTCTAGAAGTGCACATGATGTAACCTAAGGACATCTCTGTGCAGATCTTGAAATGAGTGTAAGTGAATATGAAAAATGTTTTTCTGTGTTTCAGTATTTATGATCATCGCCCAGCCCATAAAGGATTCACTATAAACAGTAAATAAAAAGTGTTCAAGTTACTGACTGGTATGTGGGCTACAGTTTGAAGGCTAAGTTCAGCGGTCTTGCCCTCTTGTTTTCTGAGAAGTGAAAAAAAATATTGAACTCGAAGGCTGAAAACAGATTTTTACTCCGATATCCTTACTTAAAGGTCACTGTGGTACTTATTAGTGAATCACATGTAAACAAGCCATGAAGCTTCTCCTATTTTACAGTGTAATTTAATCTAAGAGGATCATTATTTAATAATTGAACATCTTTCTTTTTAAAGAGGCATGGAGCTAGAGATTTACACCGTGAACTTTTGATAGAAATGTTTACTAACGGTACAAATGAACCCTGAAGTTTCATTTTTCTGGCCGACTCAGACATTTTTGGAACCACTGGTCCCTCCCCGTGGGAAATAATGTAGATTTAAGGCTTTACTTTAAAACTAAGAGACAGCATGGACATCTCATATGCAGCCCAGAGGAGTATTCATTTGAAACCATAAGTAGATTCAGGGACGGTTACTCAAAAGCAGGAGATTCTAAGGGAAAAAAAAAGTTAAAGTGTCGGGGAGTGAAGACCTCTGAGTGCTCACTTAAGTTTGTCAAAAAACGGAGTTAATTGATCTATCTTTAAATACTCAAACTTACATAAAAAATAAACATATTTGGAGCCTTCATGAACCAAAAATGATTAAATCTAAAACTTATTTCTTCATTTACATAAATTTCACTAGAGTTCAACCCTCCAAACTTTCTCTTATGAGTTCACTGGTATCTGCTCCAGTGGTATCTGTCCTTGACACTGTTGCACATTAAATGAGAGTTCTCCTTCGCTATGTTTGCTAGAGATTTAAATACATGAATAATGAATGAATAACACATTTAAATTGTATGTATATTAAAAACTATGCATGATATAAGTTTGACTGCTATGAGTGACAGGTGAGAGCTTCGAGGTGTGTGCCAGGTCTCACCTCGGCTAATTCAAGCCACTAAATTTAATCTTTGGGGTATCGCAGTGAGCAAACTAATCATAAACGTTCTACGTATGTTATACAATAATATGTGAAAAGAGAGTAGGACAGGATTCAAAGTGAAACCATTTAGGTTAGAATACGATGTTTACAATAAATGATATACCTTATTATATGAAATTATTATGTTATACAATGCAATATGATGGGATGCGTTTAAATACAATAAAATTACAATAAACTGTGATATCATACTATATACTACACTGCATGATACAATACAAAACAATGTATTACTGTGCATAAGACTCAATAAAATACAGAACAATACCCCATGAACTGCCAGATAATGTGACTGACAGTATGAGATTAATTGATCAGGGTCAACAGATACTGATACAGATAAATAGTCCGTCAAAGAGATCGATAACAGATATTAGGACCTGAAAACTTTGCTCTAATATCTTTGGCAAATGTTCAATCAAGACAGAAATATTCAACATCATATACAGGTGTGAAAAGTTAACCAGATACACCAAAAGTACAGCTAGCAAACCACTTGGTTAAAAAAGTTAATTGGCTAATTATCTGTAGAATAAAAGGCTATTACAGATAAACGGCCAAAAGCTGAATATTGTCCCCTATAATCACTCAGCCAGGTGATATGATATGATAAAATAAGATCAGATTCAATGTGATATGAAACAATATCGGATATGATATGATTGCATACATTAGAATGTCACCATGATCAGTTCTTCATGGAAATGCAATCAGACTGAGAAAATGAATAAATGTGGGGATTTTAACATCAGGGAAATAATAAACGAATGATCATAAATGTTCTTCCTTGAGCTGCGTCACCCCGCTGCAGTCAGGGATGGACTTGTCCGAAGTTTCCGTACAAACAAGCGGCTGCTGGAAGAGAGTAGGTGAGTTGTGCTTCGTCTCTTTGCTAAAGAAATTAGGCAAAGTTAAAAAGATGTTTGTTGGCTAGTACTATGGCTGGGACCCTATATGTACTGTTGATGAAGTTAGGTGCTGTTCTGAGCATTATTTATGGCTACAGAGTGGCGTTTTGGTTGAGGTTTGTTTGTGGCTCCTCAGACCGCTGTGTATTGCTATCCTGTGGTCGTTACTAAAGTTGGTATAACTAGAGAAGCAAGCGATCGGCAACATTCATCTCTCGAGGGGGTGTCTAACTCGGTGTTACAGTGTATTTGACCCTAAAGTAATTTTACGCGGGAATATCCCTTTAAAAGGTAAAATAGGGATTAATGGCATTAAGTACTTACACAGTGAGCCATGCTGGAGGGTAGAGCTGTATAGATTTAAATAACCATACAATATGCAATGATGACAATATACTACGCCTACAGTATACTGAACCACCCTGTTAATTGTGTTCATTTCATAGACGTTTGACAAGTAGAACTAGTTTGCTCTCTTTAATTTTCTTTTATATTGCCACCTCTCATCATGTTAAGCTTTGCACGTGTCTGTGTTGTTCTCCACATGCTGCCATGTGTTCAATTAGGGTAGTGAGAGTAGATAAGTTCAGTACCGGCAGACAGTGTTGTTCTACTTTGGTGTAAAAAGGGGTCGTGTCTGGCAGGGGGAGAGGCTATTATGGCTCCTTTATGGATTACGGGACAGGAATGTGACCCTTATCTCAAGGTGAATGTCAGTAGCTGCCCTTGTCGCACTACATCAAAACACTGTTCCCTATTACATTACAGGTGATAGCCCTGGCAGCCACTTAAAGCAAACAATATTCGTCTTTACAAGTCCTTTTTTGGGGCGATAACTCTTATAAGAAGTGAAATATTCTTGGAGTGAAGTAAGGTGGTTTTACTTTCCTCTGTTTTATTCAGTCTGTTGCTAAACACATGGAGGTGTCTGGTAATCAGGCAGATCACTCAGTGTCACCTAAGATTATGTCTCTCATTTAAGGAAAAATTCTAGACATAAGGTGCTTCTGATCAGAATCAAGTGAAGCTCCACAGATGGGTTGTTGACACCTTTGAAGGAAAAGGCTAATTAGCAGAACAACCTGTTCAGATGTATGACTACAAACACCTGTGCATGCCCACACACTCCACACACTCCACACACACGAGCGTTCAGTATTGTAACCTGGGAGACCTTTGTGATCTAACGACATATAGTGACCGAGATCTTTTCAGTGATGACTTTCAAATATATCTGCAAACCAACTTAAAAGGCCAATTTAATGCTAAGTCAAAGGAAAAAAATGATATGAACATGTTCCCCCTTCGAGTTGAACAGCCTGTATCAGTTATCTTTGGCGGCTCCAGTCCAACAAGATGAATGTGACGTACGCCAACATCAGAAGTAAAATCCCAGGACAAAAGACGACTGAGGGCGAGGATGGTGAACGCAGGCAGATTCTGTACTGAAGATAAGCTCCGGGGAATACAGAAAGTCCTGAGCAGCAAAGGAAAACTTTCTTCAGGCACAGGGACAAAAGGTAACAGACAAGACTTCTCTGCACTGAGTTAACTGAGGACAGTGTGAGGGTACAGGTATATTTGTCACTTTCATGTGGCAGGACTGGGTCCACACAAATGTTCGGATGAAGAGATGAATTCAAATATGATCAGCATTCTCAGCGGACCGCATTTGATAAGAAAAACAGAGTCAAAGAAAGTATCAGGCGCAGTAAATCTGTTAATTAACTCGAACATTCAAGTCCTAATCAGAGAAAAGCAGCTAAGACGTCTTTTTATGCACTATTATAGCTGCACCAAAGTCCGTTACTGACGTGTCTAGATTTACAGAGATTGACATCCTTTAGACAGTGCAAGTTTATTACTTTGTGATCACTAAATCTGACACACTGATAATCTAATTTCAACATTAGTCTTCCAATGCTAATTTTATACCACTACAGGTAATCCGCCACCGCTCCCGAGATTACCGATATTTTTCCAGACCAGACAAGATCTCACAAGTTCTTGCATGTTTCCCCGGGTGTCATAGAATGAGATCCGCTGATCAGTGTACATAAATGGCGGTGTATTTAAACACCCACATCCCACAACCCTCGCCTCTCCTATTATCAATTTAAGAACAGATCAGATATTTTACTATGTAATAACAAACACTGGCAAAAATAGAAGCCTTGCGTATCTGATCTGGCCGCAAGAGCCGATCCGCAGTGGAGCAGAACAGTGGACGGATTCTGTGGAATCACTCACGTTGATTATAATGCTTGCGTATTTGACCTGCCTGCCGGGCCAGAACAGAGCAGAGCTGTTCCGGATCCTGTGGGTTTTGCCCATAAACCTTAGAGTTTTAATGGAGTCACGGCAGAGTCACAGCGCGCTCCCATCATCTCAATCTTTAAGTTTAAGATGGTAATCTGCGCTTTTTTAGATCAGTCTTTTCCTAGTCTTGGGTTTGTTGCAGTCGCAGTGACGCAAAACAAACAACAACTAATAGATGAGCTCTAACAAAAGCAGAAAAGGAAACCTGACAGTCAAAACAAGAATAACAAGAATGTATGAAGAATAACTGGCTATAAAAAAAGAGTGGATAGTGGAGCTGCGGGCAGATCAGCCCTGCCTATTCAACATCAACTGCTGGGTTTCCCCTACATGTAATGGTCGCCACGCCTCAACAATAGAGTTTTTTATGCGCTTCCTTGGACTCAGCATGTGTCTGTATATTCAGCACACACGGGCTGCACCGCGGGGCACGTGTGCCGAGTATTAGCATGAGCGAGTTCCCAGTTGACATATGCGGACAAAAAGCTAATTAATGAGCCGCCCCCTCCTTCAAATCACACACCACCACAGATAGAGTCCCCACCAATGGGAAACACTGGACTGTCAAAAGAATCTAGTTGTAGTCTCATTAATAGTGACCCTGCAAGATTCACAGTCTAAACACCTTTAAACACTTTAGATCTGAGCAGGTGTCAGCTGCTAGTTTTCCAGTAGTCCTTTTCAAATCTTCTCAAAATCCTCTGATAGATAGCTATATGACGTTGTTATATAATAACTAACTCTTTTGAGTGTGTCATATTATCACGTAGCCTGTAACGGTGTAGAAATTCACAGTGTTTCTAATGCTTTGTCATGCAGTGGTGAGCGATTCTCCATCATTGTGGTGACAGAAGATAAGAGGTTATGGTGTGTACACTGCATTATGTTTGTGTGCGGAGAGCAGCAGACAGATGCCAAACAAAGGCAAAAGCAAAACATAGTTTTATCTTTTAATAACAGATAATGTGGTTCAATTATTTACCTGCTTGTAGCCTTCCGACTATTACTTGCCAAACATCCAATCAACCTGCATTTGGTGCTTGGCAGGTGTTAAGTTTGGACCCTGTACCCCTCGCCAACAGTTTTTGCACAATCAGGAGGTATACACGGCTGTTTAACTTGCAGTCTGCAGGCTGGATACAGAGTTTTTTATGGACAGAAACAGGCTGGGTATTTATTTTTTTCTGTGTATTGACGCAATACACTCAGCACTCGCTTGCTCTGCCCTCCTGCTCTTTGGGCTGGTGTGCACAGCAGAGAGGAGGCACAGGTGTGAGCGTGTGTGTGTGAGTGTTTGTGTGTGTGGGAGAAAGAGGAGGGAAGAACCAAAGCCCAAAGAGCAGGTTCAAGTTTTTCTGAGGGAAAACTTATGTTGAAGGATGGAGTTTATGGTATCATGAACTGTGGGAAACAAACTCCTGTAAACAGAGATGTGCATTCCTCCAAATATTTGGTATATCTAGTGTTTTTCAGGTTATACTCGGTCATAGGTGTGGGTAAATATTGGAGGGTTAGTGACGTATTTGTAGCTGCAATATTAACCTGTACAAATCTGTATCATGATGCATCTAGATATCAAACTGCTAGATGAGATAATCCTAATACTGATAAAGAAAGATCACCAGATCTGTAGTAGGGGTTTCAACTTAGGTTGCACATCTGACACCACTGGAGATCTCATCAACATGACTACATGTTGCCTCACACGTCCGTTTATTATCCGTCCATTCAATTATTCCATTCAATCTAGTAAACGAAAAAACAAGTCAATTTTTTATCTGTTTTTCTATATAACCAAAAAACAAAAGATTAGTTTTTGTTTTTGTATTTTCAGTTCAAAACAGAGTACATAATAGAGATGGAAAAAAAAATAATAATAATAAATCTACTTTCCATTTCCGGGTTATTGATGTCCCCATTTCCCACAGTGCCTATCTACTGTTCGCACATGTTCATTGCGCAACAAAGTAGCCAACAACCAGGACCAAAAACTCCAGGTAGAGCGGTAGAGAAAGGCTAACCTGCTGTCATGGAGATGGACGCATCCTACGTGTTATTCAAAAGCTGCCAGGAGGGTCATGCTGAAGGAGGAAGAGATGACTGTAGAAAAAATTACAACCAGAACTCTGTTACTTAAGACTTTGGTGCTCAAACCACTCTGACGCATCTTTCGCCATGGTAACTGTCGCTGAGGATCATGGGAAGGCTTAGGGAGCCACGTATGCTCAAAACAGGCGCACTCAAAATCAATAATTGTAAAAAAGATTTATTTCGTTTTTGTTTCCTTCTCTAATATATATTCTGTTTTGAGCTGAAAATACGAAAAAAACAAACACTGTTTTTATTTTTTGGTTATACAGAAAAACAAATAAACAAAAAATTGACTCGTTTTCTAGATTGAATGGAATAATTGAATGGATGGATAATACATGGACCCTCACATTTTACTTCTTCATCTCCACTTCATGTCTTTTTTCAAGGACTTAACTCTCTTGTATTGCACAGTTCTGGTGGCCTCACAGCCATCATCACATCAAGCCCCAAGTTTCCAATTTTTCATTGTAATTCCAGACGAACATGTAATCAGGCAATCACTCCTTGTCAATCTCATCGCTGAGGAAAATCTGACATTCAACTCCGTGTCACACATTTGTTCCACGAGATTGTCGCATACAGCTGCGAGAAAATCCTCCTCAGCACTTTAGGTACCTGACGAGGTTGTGGGCTTTTTATCGACAATGTTCAATTAAAATGTCCCATGTGGATTATGCGCCCAAGTGTCACCATGATGGAATGGCAGTCCTCTTTAACCCCTGCAAAGCAATGCTTTTCCACATCAATCCTGGAAAGGCGTAGTGTCTGCAGTTTTTGAT